TGCCTTCTTTTTACTGATCAGGATTTTTAAAAATGTACTTGAATATATAACTCTTGTTTTATGGCTTTTGGGTTTGTAATATACTTAGAATGATCTTCCTCGCTTTAATATTAAAAAAACTACTATATTTCCTTCTTATAGCTAAATGAAATTTTAAGAAAGTGGCAGGTCAGATAAATGATTCAATTTAATCATGAAAACTTTTATATAAAAAATATTATTTTACATGTAGATAACCATAGCCATTGCCCCAAATTGAAAACCTAATTTTTAAGGATTCAAAATACATTTTAAAAAAATTATCGGAATTTTATGAGAAAATATCTAATAAATTCTTTATATATATTCTATATTTTATAGTAACTAGGGCAATTAAATAATATATTCCTGTTGAGTGTATATATATGTGTATATATATGTAAATATACACACATATATAAATATGTTGTTGTTTTTGTTTAAGCCGTGACTCATTTCTGAGTTAACTCTTATAGGGTATCACCATGGAAGAAATCATTTGCTTGTGTGTTTCATCGGCCTGACAGACACAGTCACTTTTATATTTGAATTGCATCGTATTTTCTTTCTATTTAGCAAGTCCATGTTTTGGGATGCTGAGTTGGTATAAAACTTATTATTCTATAAAATGATGCTTTCAATTTAATTTGTTCTCAAGATCTTCTGCAAAATATATGGAATTCTAGATCTTTTTCTTTTTGCATACAATGGGAAATGTTCTTTATTCTTTTTTTCAAAAGATTTTCACATTGGCTTGCAATCTGCTTTTCTGATTACTGACTTTTCTCCAACTAAACCATAAAGATCCTCTCTTTTTTCGCTTATTGAAAAGAAGTCAATATAGATGATAAGTTATATGAATGTGCTGAGTTTGAAAAGATGATTACACAGAATATGTAAATTAAAATAAGTAGGACCACACTATTCTTGTATAAAAGTACAATAGGATATTCAAGACCTAAGTATTCACTTGCTTACTACTAATGAATAGATGAAAAACAACAGGATATATTAGAGTACGTGAGCAGCCATTTGGCTTAAAACTAATTTGGCTTGACCTTGTTTTTCAAGAAAAAGCTGACATGGCCTGTTGAGCATGCATTGTACATCAGCTTTAAATATTTACAATGCCCCAAAGCCAAGAATGATTCCCTTAAAGTAGGGATGCGGCCCCCCTCATATCGGCATTTCTTTAGGAATAAGCATCTCTTCCCAGAAACTAAGGTTGAATTACCAACTTGTTGTGTTCACCCTGTGACCACTGACCTGCTGTGCCAACACAGCATCTCATGACTGTTGTAAAAGGGTTATTCCTGTCACATGTGATGTATGCTCTTTGTTTCAGGATGATATATAATCACTCTGTACATCTCGCTTCTTTGGAGTTCTTCCTTCCTGTGTGAAGTTACTCTCCAGGGTTTATGGTCCTTAGGCTTGGTTCATAATGAACTCATCTTGATTTCTATTTATAGATTGATTTGCTTTATTTGTGTCAACCCTACTGTGTAAGCCTTTAGCAGCCTAGTGATTAGTAGGAAGTGCTAGAATACATTAGGATTTTATATTTAGCACTAAATTAAATTTGACTTTGTTTACCTACATCTAAAACTCTTTTCATTACAATACCCAGCAAAACAGAAGTTATCAATCTCATTGTCCAAAAATTGGCTCCAAAACATCATAGCATAAGATTCAGGTAATAGATTTGTTTACAGACATGTTCTCCCCATTGTCTGACACTTCCAAATGGCTTCATTGTCCTCTTGCATGATTGGTCTCAAATCAAGGATTCATCAGGAGGCCTTATAGACTGGTAATTTCTAGCAAAGAAATATCACCAGGAATCTTGAAACACAAGTTAGCTTTCCAAATATGTTTTTTATTCCATTCATACCAGAGAAAGTTCTCTTTACTAGGAAAGACACATTTCAGGCTCTGAATGTATATACATACACACACAGACAATGGAATACTATTCAGACTTTAAAAAGAAGGAAATCCTGCCATTTTCAACAACATGGCTGAATCCTGAGGACATTATGCTAAATGAAATGTCACACAGAGAAAGACAAATACTATATTTGAACTTAACCTAGAGACATAGTTGGCTATATTTTTGTAAGTAATCCATCGTTTTCTTCTTTTTCTTTGAATATAAGTTTTTAATCACTGCGTGACTATAATGTATAGGGAATATAACAGCCTTTCATATCATTATTTGGTTATTATTTACAGATAAAAAATATACCTATTTTGATGTGTATTTCATCTCTGATGACAATGATTTTGCATGCTAATATGAATAATTTGCAGTTTATTCATTTCAGTTTTCTTAGTACACAACATGTTTTAAATGATCACATTGATCCCTTCTTTTCCATTGGCTCCATAAAAAATCAAAGCTTTAGAGAACTAGTGACCCAGTAATTTAAGGAGTCTTGTGAGAAGCAATAAAATACCTTTCCTGAGAGACAGAAAACAAAATACACGAGTAAATGAATACACATACCACGTGCAATCCTAGATGGTGAGATTAAACACTGTAAACATGTCAACTTGCCTCAAATTTATTGATGGCTTGTTTTACTACAATTCCAAAAAAAACGCCAGTGAAATGTTCTTGGGAATAAAAGATGATTTGTTCTGAAAGTTTATCTAGAAAAATCGTTTTTCAGAAAAGGCTTGGAAGTTAAGAGAACGTTGGAGGGGTGGAGAGCAATCCTACACTGCATCCATTAGGGTTGGCTTTAGCCGAACATTTTAGAACTCAAACTACAATATCTTAAACAAACAAGGCTCTGCCATCTTACTGTGTCTCTGCTTCATACACAAACGTATTGATGCTCCACTGGAGAAATCCTGTCTCTGTTCTAAACGGGGGGATGAAGGACAAGAGTGATGCCAGCTGAGTCTGTCCCAGTTCTTCAGGGGAACCATAGCTATCCTGGAAACCCTCCCCATTCCATGGTCCATAATATGACCACATGGCTACTCTTATTAGCAAAGATGAATGAAAGTGTATACTTTCAATTGAGCATAGGCCATCCCAAATAAAAATGGAGTTTTGTTAGCAAAATTCTTATTCATATTTATATATGCATTTATGTTTGTGTATATGTATATATATATATGCATTGTTATATGTCTCAATATTTTACATTTATGATAAATAAAAAATGTTGTTTACCTTAGAAGTGACAAAAAATTAAATGTCTTGGGGCCGGCCCAGTGGCCCAGCAGTTAAGTTCGCATGTTCTGCTTCGGTGGGCTGGGGTTAGCTGGTTTGGATCCCGGGTCCGGACATGGCACCGCTTGGTAAGCCATGCTGTGGTAGGCGTCCCACATATAAAAACATAGAGGAAGATGGGCACAGGTGTTAGCTCAGGACCAGTCATCCTCAGCAAAAAGAGGAGGATTGGCAGCAGTTAGCTCAGGGCTAATCTTCCTCAAAAAAAAAAAAAGTCTGGAAAGATCTTTTATATGCATTCCCTCCACAGAGGGAAGATAGATGGATAGATAGATAGGAAGATAATAGATAGATAGACAGACGGCTAGATAGATAGCTTCTCACGTATTACAGTTATACTGTATATTAGAACATGAGATATTTAAATATTTTGTATTAGTTTTCTAGTGATGCTGTGACAAAATACCACCAACTTAGTGACTTAGAACAACACAAGTTTATTATGAACCGTGTCTTGAGATCAGAAGTCTTGAATGGTCTCATGGGCTAATCTCAAGCTGTCAGCAGGGCTACATCGCCTGCTCCAGGAGAGAGTCTGTTTCCTAGCCTTTTCTAGTTTTGGAGTCACCTGCATTTCTCTGCTTGTGGCCCGGTCCTCCTTTCTCAAAGGCAGCAGCAGCATACCATCTTCAAATCTCTCTCTGACTTCTGTTTCTATTATCGGATCTCTTTCTCAGACTCTGGCCCTCCTTCTTCTGTCTTATAAAGACCCTTGTGATCATATTAGGCCCACCCAGATAGTTCAAGATAATCCCTTGTCGATATCCTTAACTTAACCACATTTGTGAAGTCCATTTTGCAAGGCAAGGTCATATTTATAGGTGTTAAGGACAAGGATATGGACATTTTGGAAAGGGGCATTATTCTGTCTACCATGCATTTCAAACCAGCAGAGAATGTAGGAATTGTTTAACAACGGTAATAAGAATCTTCCAAGTATTGTTACTTATAGAAAATAAATTAGTCATTACTTCACACTATATACCAAAATAAAATTAAGGTTGAACAGTTTTATGTAAAAATCGAAGTCACAAACATTTGGAAGAAACTATCATCGGTAACTCATCTCAGGTAGCCCAGGATTTTGCAAGCATAAAGATTAAATTAAAAACGAGAAGTGAGGGGGCTGGCCCTGTGGCTGAGTGGTTAAGTTCATGCACTCTGTGTCAGCGGCCCAGGGTTTCACCAGTTCGAATCCTGGGCATGGACATGGCACCACTCATCAAGCCATGCTGAGGCGGCATCCCACATGACACAACTAGAAGGACCCACAACTGAAAAGTGAATAACTGTGATATTTGAATGTATAAATATGTAAAATATTATATGCATAAAATAAGAAATAGAAATAAAAGTAAATGACAGAGGAAATAATTGCAACATATATGACAGCTAATTTGCCATTATCCTTAGCAGTCATATCTATATGAAAAAGAGTGAGCACGCACAGTGTGCTCCACACCGTGCCTAGAACCCTGTTCCTGTCCTTAGGGAGCTTATCTTCCCCTGAACTAAGAGATAGAAAACAAATAAACCCTGTGCAACAGAGAGCAATTAGGTTAGAGAGAGTGGCTTAGGAAAGACTATAGAAGTGATATTTAAGTTGAAATCTGAAGGAAGAGATCAAGATAAGATTGCAATATCCAGCCAAGAGAAAATGCAGGGGCTTTCAGGGAAGATATTTCTTGATTTGCTGAGGAACCAAATGCAGTCCAGTGTGCCTGGAGAAGAGTGAATAGGTGGGAGTGTGGTTTGAGAGAGGTTAGAGAGGTGAACAGAAGCCAGACTGTACGCACCCTGGATTACGTTTAAAGATCGTACATTTTATTCTGCGAGTAATGGAAATCCACTGAGGCATTAAGCTAGAAAGTTTCAAAATATGATTTACCTTTTATAAATATTTCTGTGGCTGACGCATTTAAAATAGAGTTCATTATTAGGTAATTTGGCAATATCCTATCCTGATAATTTAGCAAATTTCTTTCCATAAAGATAAAAATTCTTCTTCTATGAATCCACCCTAAATAAAACAACAGAAAGGCAATTTATTAAAGATTATTGCAGATATCTTCCTTCAAATGTTAATCATGAAATTCAGGAGAAACCAGATGCTTTTCAGTAAAGGAATTATTAATGATATGATACATACAAAAACACTCTATTTCATAGCCATTAAAAGGTGTTTTCAAGAAACACTTAAAAAAAAGAATGGGACATTTTTCATGAATCAGTGCTACCAAGAGGAAATCAGATCATAATCCTATATGTGTATGTGATGAATTCATGTTCTGAGTATGTTTGCGAGGGTGTGCACACGTAAGCATAAACATCTAGCTAGCAGTCTCGGCACTGCGTTTAGCCATGTTTGGTCTCCAGCAGACTGGCCTGTTGTTAAAATTAATTGTTTACAAACTTTGTTAGAATCATTAACCAGCCTTCCAAATGTAAACATATTTGCACAGTCTACGTCAATTGAACATTGATCAATTATCTAGAGAACACAGACAAATGGTGAGAGCAAATGTGATGGCTTGGACCGTGAATGTAGACCAGCTCAAGTACCATCCGCTAAAATACAGATAAAAGGAGAGAGAACACTGCATTTGAAGAGCTACTTTCCTCCCAGGGGCCAAGTTTTATCAGAAGATTTCTAAAAGACAACTCTTTTTAACCCACCCAATGATGTCACACAGAATTTTATCTAAATTTAAATGTTGGGTATAAATGAGACCCAGAATATTAAGTCATTTGTCAGGATCCACACCACCGGGGACAGTGATAGATTCAGAATTTGAACTTGGTTCTGCCTGACCATGTCCACTGAAAGTCTAGGTCGTCTGGAAAGACCACTGAATTCTCACAACATCATCAGTCTCCATTATGCCTCAAAATCATCACAAGCAGAAAATTCCAGGACACACACTTGCTCATACTCAGAACTGTTTTTCCTAACTGTAGGAAAATGTATTAAAGGTGCTGACAGGCATGGTGACATAAGGTGCACCCCTTCCACATTACACAGATGGCAAAAATAGCACAGAGGGAGATGGTCCCACCTAATCCTAAGTAGCATGAGTCAGCCTCACTGTAGGAATCCAACTTTATGGGGGTGAGGGGTTATCAGCCAAAGTGGGAGACACAGCTGTGGGGCGATTTCCCACTCCTTCAGAACATTTATCTGTTGCCCTCCATTACAAGCACGAAAATGAGTGCATTTAATCACTGTCAAATAAAATCATACTGCAGACTAGTCGATTCGTGGGAATTCCTAGCCCAGGAACGCTTTTTGTCAATTCCCATAATAGTATTAATCGTTTTAATAATCACTATTTAGAAAAACAGTTGAAAAATGAAACTGCTTGGCTTATAATTTCCTCAACAACTCAGGATCTCTCTTTATCATTCTCATGCTGTAATTCCATATTCTAATTCTCTTTATATGTCCTACTCTTGTTTTGCTTGTCTCTCTATTTTTTTCCCTTTGGTGAGGAAGAATGTCACTGAGCTAACATCTGTGCCAATCTTCCTCTATTTTGTAGGTGGGATGCTGCCACAGCATGGCCTGATGAGCGGTGTGTAGGTCTGTGCCCAGGATCTGAACTCACAAACCCCAGGCTGCTGAAGCAGAGTGTGTGAACCCAACCACTACACCACTGGGCCGGCCCCTGCTTGTCTCTTAATTCATGTTTTCCTGTAATCAGTGCAATCAATTCACCTTAAAGCCAACTTCTATTTTATTTACATTACATGCTTCAGAAGAATTATAGTCTGTATTTTAGAAACATGGTTTCAAAGGAAAAGTTACTTGTTTATATCCTTGACTTTGCCTTCTAAATGCTCATTTATCACACTTTTTCTTTTCAATTTTATTTTGCCCATTAGCCATTCCAAATTCAGTCAATAAAGCAGCTTTAGGAAAAGAGCATCTGGCATCATTGAAGCTGTAAACATGATCTAAAGAGTTTTGTTCTCCAACCATCCCCACCATCCATCAAATATCACTCACCATGACATGATGTGTCATTCATCCTAATGGATGTAACAGCGTTGCAAATGGAAATGCCACATGAAACATTTTTTTTTTTCTCTTTTAGCCTTGCAAGCAATTCATAACTGCCAAAAGAAGGAAACATCTAAACGTGAACTTCCACATCCTGGAGAGTAATTTTAAAAGTTAAATGAATACCAAGAGAAAATTGATACAAAAAGAAAAGCAAAGAGTAAACACACATGGAAAAATGTTCACTTGGGAATTATACAAGAAATGTTCATTATTAAAATAACCCTCGGTTACTATTTTTACACTAGCAAAATGATTAGAAAAATAAATTAAAATACACATTGCTAACAAAGTTTCAGTAAAACTGAAGTATGGACTTACTATCATTAGTATTCAAATTGGTATAAACTTCTTTAAAGTAGCAAGATAAAAAGTCGCAATGTTTATAAAGACATCCACGTGTACAGACCTTGTGATTTGACCTGAAGAACTTATTCTGACGTTACAATTCAACAGACTCAGCATATTATGCTGCAAAAAGATGCTTATTAATAAATCATCTATTACTTAAAAGAATAGAAACTGAAATGCAAAATCATATTGAAATAGTCTATTAATACCACTGACATTTACATAGCCATTAAATGTGTGTTTATTGCAATGACTAAGGAGAACCATGGAGGGAGAAACTTTTGTAATGCTACATAAAATCATAAAATATAATTTTATTTGTGTAATTTTCACATGTGCATACATAAATATTTTCCAAAAGCAAACGGACAATGGGGACCTAAGAAAGTTTAAAGAATTATTTATAAAAGGTTTTGATTTCATATATCAAAACACAGTGTGTGTATGTTTTGGAATTTGGAGAGGAAGCAAGGAGAGAACCGTGTCGCTTGTCTAGACTTTTAGCTCCTAAATATAAGAGATAGGGTCTTATTTCCAAAGACTGCCAAGTGGGCTTGACAACGTCCCATCCAAGTCAAAAGCATTTAGGACTTCAGCAGGCATCTTAAGTGAACCTTTCACCTGTTCAACTCTTTATTTCTCTTCTAGAGTAACTAATAATCCCAACCTGCCCAAGAAATTTCTTGTGTTAGCACTGGGGAAATCCCAAATCCCAGGAAAAGCTTCAGTCTCAGGCAAACCAAGATGACTGGTCACCCGAAATTCTCCTCTCTTCCTGGAATTCCATCCCCGCCTGCTGTACTGCAGGGTTCCCCAACACTTCCTGAGCAGAAGCCAGGTCTCCGTCTCCATCTGCCAATGTCTTGGTCTCCATCTTTGCCCATATATTGCTATTAAAGTAGAGGTAGTGTTTGCCTCATTCAGGGTCTTGGACCCCTCAGATGGGAGCAGAGTGCCAGTGGAGCTGGTGGAGTTTGGGGGATAAGGGTCAAGTTTTCAAAAAATGGTAAGATTCCTTCACTCTGGCCATGTCTGTTTTGTCTAAAACAAAGTAGCTTTCATACCTCAAGGATTGGTTATTTCCTAAACCCCTCCCTGACTCCACATCAAGTACATAGGAGGAACACATTAATTGTAGAGGAGGAAATCATCTCTTCTTATTGGAGAAATTTTATTCTATTTCAGTAAATTTATCTACTGACCTTATTGTTCTAAGAGAGTATCTACCCTATCTTGGCTGACTTGTTTCACAAACCTTACCTTCATTTGCAACTAAAGATAGGTCTAACTTGATGGTATAAGTTCAAGGCTAGCTGAATGACTCCTAAATTTTAAATCATAAAACTGCATTATTTTACCTTTGCAGATAATCACAACTACTTAAATTCTTTACATATTTTAGGACATATAAATACATTTCAAGTATCACCATTATGAATTCCTTGTTAATCACATGTATGGTATCCTAAAAGTAATTTAAAGACTAATTAAGTATATTTTCCTCTCTTACCCCTTCCCTTTTTCCCTTATCACATCTGAAACTTAACCTGACATTTCATGTTATACATAAATTACAGTAGGGAGCAAAGGGATAAAATATGGAGAAGAGTGATAGATATTATTCATGAAGCCACACAGACACAATGAATTGCCTTTCCCCCAAAGCCAGTCTTTCAAATACCAAATACTCTCCATCCTTTCTTGAGCCACTCAGGTTACATTTCTTAAATGCTATATGGTTAATGTGGTTCAGTAATATATAGGAATGCGGCACTTGAAGAGAACATACACTTATCATAACTCTCAGCCCTATAGACCAGTTCTATCACGATGCCATTTATCCATACACAATCCCCTCAAACCTAACATACAAACAAGAAAAAGGTAAACCAACCCTTCTAGAATGCAGGATCATTTTTTTCCTTCTTCCTCTGTAGAAGTGAAATTTAAAATTTTCTACCATGGTAATGAATTTTTTATTGGCTTTCTTAAAATGTCCACCATCATTACAAAGAAACAATTTAAAAGCATCAATATAGGTCCTTATGAATAAGTGCTGAATGATTCCTGATAAGTGTAGCTATTTGATGAATGGCTCATCTTGTGGAAAGTTCATACCTGCAAACTTTGTTTTTCTTCTCTCTCTCTCTCTTTCTCTCTCTCTCTCCGCTTCTCTGTCTCTCTCCACTTGTTTGTCTCCCTCTCAAGGAGCAAATTCAATATCTGAGTGCCGTATTCATAGTAGCTCATATTTGGGGAAAAATGCTCCCCCTCCACATATTCTCTATGTCTCTATATTTGTTTTATAGTGGTTCAAAGAGTTTTATTGGGTTTAAAAGTTACAACAGACCGGATTCGAATCATGGAAATGTAACATCAGCTGAATGACTATATTTTTAGCTTCCTAACTGTCTTAATCTTCAAGGTTATTAACAATATTACTTAGATTAACATACTAAAGCCATCCAGGACAATGCTGTGGAAGATATCCTGGAACATCTCCACAGGATGCAGCAATGTGCTTTCTCTCACTGTTCCCCTTGGGGAAGTGCCTTCGCAGCCATTATTCTGTCACCAACTTCACTGGATGGCTGTTGGACAGACAGACAAGTCTTTAAGAAATTTAAGTCAGAGATTCAGAAATATCCTTTGACTAGAATTGAGGCTATGTACCTGAGTGTTTTAAATATAGGGAAACAGGAAAAGTCTATCTGCAATGAAGGACTGCATAAAGGCAGTACGTTACTGAGAAACACAGAGCAGAGAAGAAGAGAGAACTGTGTTAGTTCTCTACCTTCCAATCTGAGATGTTAGTACTAAGTAAGTGCAACTCTCCTTGGGCTTTGCCAGCTGTCTCAGTCTCCCTCCAGTAGATTTCTCTTTTTGTTTAACTACTTCAAGTACCCTTCTGTAACCTGCAACCAAACAGCATTAAGCAGGGCAAATGCCAAGATATAGCGGGTACTCAAAAATGTCACTAAAACTACCAGCTTGTCCCACAAATAGTTTCTTTTTTCAGAAAACAAAGAAAATTGAAAGCAAAACATAAAAATTTTCACTGCTCTTCCAGAAGTTGAGAAGAAGATCTACAGACAGCATGGAGAAGTGGAGAAGCTAGAACCCAGTGAGAGTCACTGAGATTGTGACCGTGTCTGACTGTGAAGAACTTCCAGCAGTGATGGCTATTTCCTAATCTAACGCTAGTTCCTTTTTTGCTAGCTGTAATCTGGAAATATACATGGAAAGTGGCCCATGAAAATGTGGTTTCCAGCATAACAAGTTGATATAACACTAACCAGCACAACATTTGTTTATTACAAATTAACAATGGAGAAAATTAACACTATCAATAAGGTCAGAAAAATCAGCCAGTTGTGGTTAAACATTTCCCCATCTATGTTTACACAGGCATTTCTTTACTTGTATAACAGTGGGAGAAAGTGCAAATACTATTTGTATTTACTGAGCACAACACAATGTGAATAATTGTACTAGGAAATTCACACAGTGTCTCCTTTAAACATTCCCCACACACATGCAATTAGTTATCATAATGCTCTTTTTAGATATTTGGAAACTGAGGCTCACAGTGATCTATAAATTTGATTTCATGTTCATGTGCAGAAATCAGTGTTATTTGTGTCATTGCAAGAATAGATAGTCAAAGCAAGACTTAAATATTTGAAATATTCAAAAGTTACACCATTAGCTGTTTAAACTCTCTTGCTCAAAAAGACAGTGATAGCAATAAAATTGTTGTAAACACAGTCCATTATGTAATTTAATGACCTAATGTAGAACCATCATATACTTAACCACCAGGGGCCTAAGGTTCTTATCTTCTCACAAATAATACTCAGATTATGGAATCAGACCCATTTGAATTTGTAACCTGTTTCTGACATACACAAGCCATGTGACTGTGGATAAATTACTTTAACCTCTTTAATGCTGTATTTCCTTGCCTATAAAATAGGGAAAATCAGTGTATATAACTCACGGATTTGTTGTGAGAATTAAAATGAGATGGTAATGATCTGACTGTGCTCGGCAAATACAAACATATTATTTTGAAATCAAAATATTAGCTGTCTCCATCACTCTCTGAATACTTAAAATCTAATGAATTATTTTTCATAAAACCAAGAACAATTTTCATAAATTTCTCACTTAGCTACTTTTAATAATATTTCTTCCAGGCAAATTGACCATATCAAAGTTTATGCAATCTTGCCAGGAGCCTCTCTTTGAATAAGTCCAACTAAACCCATAAGAGATCCCTGATGATCTATATTGATGGTGAAGATTGCTTTTCATCAAAGTTAATATCAGACAATGTGTAGCAATATTGGCTTGGTTCCTATAATCAAAAAAACTTTTTGTCGGAAGTTTTCTAGTAAATTTGTGCGAAGAGATCCTTTGTCTTTTGACGACGCAAGAGGATAGCAAACCTAGTCATCAGATTTCATGGCTGAGTCCTACAAAACCATTGTGCCTAATAGAGTATCAGTTGAAGCAAATAGAAATATGGAGAAACAGCTGGAAATATTCCCAGGACATCTGAAAATCCAAACATCATTACATTTAAGATTTTAGCAAAACATGCAGGCAATTCTCTTAAGAATTGTTGTCACTTCATTTCAAGCTGTTCCTAGGGAATAAAAGTGCTGCCATGTGATATGAGAACAAGAGCTTCTGGGAACACAGAAGAGTCAAGGGAGTACCAAATGACTCTGTTGGTAATATTAGTCTTTTAGTTTTCCTTTGTTGGTTTTGATTTCCCTGAAATTCGTGGTTGAAATTATGAAGCTTATGCTAATGCTTACAATTCTTTTCTATGACATAGACACTCAACAGCTGTTCTCTTTGATCATAAGCTTTCGCAGAGCTAATTTTTCCTCACGTGTCAAATGTGTTAACAAAGACTACTCTATGATATTATATTAAAGATCAATTGAACAAGAATTTACTATGTAACTTACTTAGTAGGTGCTCAATAAATGATCACAATTGTTATTTAATTTGAATCACTTTAAAAATGCTTTAACACCTACCTCTAGAGTTACTGCTTTTCTCCGACTGGCTCCTTGAAAACTTAGACTGAGCCTGGAAACAAATTTAGAATTAAATGAAAAAAGAAGAGCTAACAACAACTTATATTTTTGTGCTCTCCTATATCATAGTTGGTGACAATTTTGTGATGTTCATAGTTCTAACATTTTAGAGTAGGATGGAAAGCTAGACGTACTGCTTTTATAGATCTGGAGACTAAACAATTTCTCTAAATCATGTAGTGAGCTGGTATCAGAAACAAAAATAGAAGCCACATCTTCTGATTCCCAAGATTATACTATGAAATTGTATGTACAGTTCATCAAAGTTTGTGCAAAGGTTTTTCCTAGACCTTCTCCAATCTTTAAAATTGCATTATTAAAGTCTTCAGTTTTCATGCCCCAAGTTTTCAAGCCATTGTGGATTATCACTTCCTTTATTATAAAGCTCTTGAGAATTACTCCCACATTCTATGGGAAATTCATATCTCACAAAAAATGGTCAAATCTATGTTCAATTTCCACTTACTTTCATTTTGGAAATTATTCTATCTTGACACCTATTTCCTGTTGATTTACTATTGTCTCTGATAATCCAAATTTATATTTTCCTTTAATGACCATAAATGTCATTACATCAAAGAATGTGTAGTTTGAGTATTTTATTGGGGGTTTTCAATACTGCTGTAATATGGTTTGATTTTGTAATTATTGTCATATGTAACAGCAGATAATAATAACGTAAAATCTATTATTATTCATTCCTCTCTTAAGTCTCCCAGGCATTCTGGCTATTGACAATTTATCAATTGTTGACTCTTTCTGATACTTTTCCTTAACCTCCCTCCAACTATGTTTGTGAGTCTTTACATTTATTGAATAGTTTATTATAATAAAGTCTCCTAACCAGTAAATATCTTCCCTTCTTGTCTCAGCTTTGGTAAGACATACTTACATTGTTGTATTGATGTTAATTTCAACATGTAACCTAACCATATCACAGAAAAATGCTCACGAATATTTAAGGGTATAAAAAAGCAGCAAAGCACCCAAAAAGATAGAATTCAAAATTTGACATACAATCAAAACAGTTTGTTTAATATACAAGCCAAAATTATAAGACATGCAAAAAAATCAGAAAAATGTAAGCCATGATAAGCAAAATATACAATACAACCAGAGACATTATAGATGATAGAATTAATAGAAAATAATATTAGAACAGTTCATACAGTTATAATCAATATGTCCAAGAAGGTAGAAGAAAGCATGAGTGTGAGAAAGAAAGACAGGGAAGGTATTAAAGAAAAGCAATCCTCACTAAATTTCTGAAGACAAAAAACAGAGTTTTAAAAAGTATGCATGGAACATAATAACAACAAATTAGATGCTGAAGAATAAAATATTTTTAATGCACCTGAAGAAATAGCAATAGGAAAAATGCTAGTTTTTTAAAAAGACACAAGGTTTTTATAACCATAAACAAAATTGTCCTAAGCTGGAGGATATTTTTAAGCAAGCTAATAAACATGAAATGTGTGTCTCCAAAATAGAGGAGAGAGAAAGGGGAGAGAAGAAAACATTTTAAGAAATATTGGCTGAAAAATTTTCCAAACCTGATTAAAACTATAAATTCACAGATCATAGTTCAAGACCATCTCAATTAAAATCTCAGCAGGTTTTGATTCAGAAGTTTGCCAGTTGACTATAAAATATATGGCGAAATGCAAAGGACCTATAATAAAACAACTTTAAAAAAAGGAAAAATGTTAGAGGAATGAGATTACTGTTTTCAAAACTTTGATGAAGAAGATAATAATAGTATTTCTGAAATAATGTTAAAAAATAAGTCATATAGAGAAAGACAAATATGGCATGGTATTACTTACATGTGGAATCTAAAATTTAAAAAAAAATCCAACTAAAGCAACAGAGAGCAGATTGACAGTTGCCAGGACAGGGTGGTGGGGAAATGGGAAGAGTCTGGTAAAGGGTACACACTTTGAGTCTCAAGATGAGTGAGGTCTGAGGATCTCATGTGTAGCATGGTGACTATAGTTAATTATACTGTGCTGTGTACTAGAAATTTGCTAAGTGCCTTCATCAAGAGAAGGAACTATGTGAGGTGATGGATGTGTTAATTAACTTGATTTAAATATTTATTTATTATATACATATGATATATACTTAAGGAGACATTTGAAATGTATATAATTGTTTTGATCATTAAAAGTTTTCATTTACATGAAAAACAAAAGAAATTATCTCGGGACAGATGGTGTAGAATAAGAATTGTGAGGGCTGGCCCAGTGGCACAGCAAAGTGCACACATTCCACTTCTGGCAGCCCAAAGTTCACTGGTTCAGATCCCGGGTGTAGACATGGCACGGCTTGTCAAGCCATGCTGTGGTAGGCGTCCCACATAGAAAGTAGAGGAAGATGGGCATGGATGTTAGCTCAGGGCGGGTCTTGCTCAGCAAAAAAAGGAGGATTGGCAGCAGTTAGCTCAGGGCTAATCTTCCTCAAAAAAAAAAGAAAGAATTGTGAGTAACCCCAAAAAACCCTGGCATAATGTGAAAGAGGAATCCAGCCCAGCCAAAAACAAAGCCTATTCTCTTTATAACCCTGCTAAAAGCAGATTCAGAAACCTACCGCACAGATTTTCATATAAGACAGACAGATAGACAGACAGACATAAGTAGATAGGAAATATATACCACCTAAAAATAACTTTTGATCAGGTTGAATATTGCCAAGGAGGAGATCATATATGACTGTAAATCATGATTAAATTGAAAGGAACTCCTAATTATGAGGTAAATTAACTGTGATATGGTCAGTGTCCAAGCACTGGTTGAAACTACTAAAAAACCAGCTCCTTGTAACTGGGCTACTGGTGTGTATTGGGAAGAGAGTGCTGGGCTGGATGGTTTAACGTAATGCCTGGTACATAGTAGGCAGTCAATAAATGGTGTCTATAGAAAGCATATTTGTAGTTCATTTTAAGAACTTCTTGGAAATATAGGCTTGTGCATATACATTTTATTCTTTTTCCGTCACTCATAATTCCCCAGCTCCTAATTTATACCTTAATATTTATTTTCAACTATTTTCATTAAATATATTTGTTTTAAATGATTTCCAATTCTTTAGTATATGAAATAAAAGTATACAAAATACATACATATATGCTAAAAGATATAGTTAGAAGGGTGATAAACTAAGATTAAATTCTTTGAATATTGAAAAAGTAAAAATATTCTAAAAATCAGACTACCATATTGAAACCCAACAAGAAAGTAAGAAAATCTTTTTAAAAAGACTTAGTGGAAGTGTAAGTGAATATCTTCCCCAAACTCCTGACAAAGCTTCTCAAAAAAATAAGGTTTTCAGTAGCTGCATCAGCAGAGCTCAGTTAAGCTCGGAGAAAAATCACAGATCTACACAGATTCGAGATGAAAACGGCCTCTGAGGCTACAGAGTCTATCTTTTATGGCACGAGCGTTGTGTTTCATTAGCTTCGTGTTTGCCCATCTGCTTTTAAATGTCAAATAATATGAACCGGCAAACTAAACTGGTCATCCTAGAACTCAGGCAGCAATCAGCTAGGGCTCAGCTTCACCAGAGTTCGCTCTGTGAAGAACCCAAATGAATTTTCTGTATAATAGTGTACATTACTGACTAAAAAAAAAAAAAGGAGTGAAAGATATTGCTCACGTAAATGTCCAGTTGCTTTCATAAAAAGAGCAAAACTTTTATTCAAGTTCTTAAAGATGTTTGGATAGTCACCAAGAAAAATAAGTTTACTTTTGACAAGTTGAATTGAGAGAGACAAACTATGTACATCTCTATTATTTCTAATGCGTCTTTTCAAATCCTGATACTTTTCTAAATCCTGCCAGAAGGTAAACACTGAGCCCTTAACAAATATGTTCTTATATCAAAAACATTCTAGAAACGAACATTGTCACCTGCTATAAGATGGTCCACACCATACTTTCTCTGAGGATCCTTCTTTGATCTGCTGTACTGGACATAATCATTTGTTTGTCTGTTTTCTTTTAGCCTAATACGTATAATGAATGAGCACGAAGTCAGCTCAATCCTCAGGTCCTTCATTTAGGGTCTCATAGCCTCAGTAAACCACATCCTACAAAGAGATAAATTTTTGTTGTTAGAAATGTGTTTAGCTACAAGTAACAGAATACTTACCTAACAGCTGCTTAAACAAATATAGGTGTATTTTTCTCCAGAAATCTTTGCAATTGTTGATTCAACTCCTCTAATATTTCCAGCAGGAATACAACCTCTTTCATTGTTTCTTCTTCATTATCTGTAGTGAATTGAAGTTTGTCCTCATGTTTGTTATTTCATAGTCCCAAGATGGCTGCTGCAGCTCCATATTTCACATCAGTGTTCAAGCACCAGCTATGGCTCTGCCTCTGATATTATGAGGAAACAAAACTTTTGAAGATTCTAACACCCACCAGCAGATTTGCAGTTAGATATCATTGTTCCTAACGTCAAGCGATGCTGAAAATTAAGGAGCGTGATTGTGGAGATTGGCATAGAACATTTATTTTCTGTCACATAGGGAGTTCATACCAAGGGGGAAGTGGATATTGAGTAGGTTTCCAATGGTATAGACGACAGTACAGGGTTATGTGATGATTATATGAGAATATGTGTAACCATCTGTCACAAACTGAGATTTCAACCAGTATTAGTACAGTAATATCAGCTATAGTACTTTACCTGCCTTAATCTATATTATATTCTGCTTGAAGGTGGGAGCTGTATTTAATTCATATATGTATATTTGAATACTTATGACTATTTAGAACAAGAAAGATGGAAGCAATTTTTTGCAATTATAGCTTTTATATAAAAATAGTTTTTATTTTATTTTTCTGTCTTTTAACATGTAAACTATCACTTTATCGCAATCATCAAGATTTTTTGTAAACTTTATAGTTAGACTGTAACCTTTGAGAAGTTTAGCACCATGGGTATTCTTCTTAACTCTTCAAATTATTGATATTTTGTCTCTTCAAAAAAAAGGCAAAAGACCTGTCCAACTGTAGCCACCGGTCTGGCGGATCTGCTGGATACTTGATATCTTTAAACAAAAATTTGCTTAACTAGATTCTCCAACTTTATATCAGCTTTATCTTTAGGAAGGAAAAATTTTAGTTTCTTCCTGGCCTCATAACGAGTTTATTTGACTTGTTCACTGCTTCAAACAAGTTCCTCCTGTGCACTTTTGTGATCACTGAAAAAAATACATTTTTGTGGCACAGAGGGTGAGGAGTGAATTACAAGTAAAGATTGACATTTTTATGGGATATCTGTCAGGCGACTAAGCTCACTTTAAAAAATATTTAAGAACAAATCAAAGTAGGGGACATTATCAATGTCATAACCTCCTTCAAGCAAATGCAGAGAATGAAAGCGATTCATGAACAGCAAGAATTGGCAAAGACGTCGTCATGATATAGCAACAACAGTAGTCAGAGCCCCTCCAATAATTCTGAGGGCCCTACACATTGCAGCATGCCTACAGAGACCTCTATTTCTCATCAGAAAATTAATCAAAATGCTTAGAAGATTTCTAAAATCTCTTCCCTTTTTGATCTGTGAAATTGATTAATATGTAAACCATATGCACATAGATCTTTGTTCACTTATTATCCGGCAGAGTAGGCACTCAATAAAAAAATATTGAAAGTATTAATAAAATTCAAATGTGGAAAAAATCTAAAACTGGGAGAAAAACTCCCAATTCTAAAGGACTCTGCGACTTATTTTTCAGACCTTGAATTATGCACACTCAGACAATATGCCAAAAGCTTTGAACACTGTATCTCAAGGAATTCCGTCAAACATATCTAGTGATACAACGATCACTACATCCAGTGACCACGTGCGCCATGTTTACTCTTCTCTCAGCTTAGGTAATCACCAGTACTCATTATAAATCTGGTTAAGACTGATATACACAAAAGGCAACTAACGAATGCTAACTAGTGAACTGAGGGCAAAAATTATAAAGGTAGAAACTCAATACAAAGAGGCTCAAGATCTCCACCGTTACAAGAGTGATCATCATTCAGAATAAACATTAAGAGAAGTACATGGGGTTTCAGATAATTACTGAATTAGAGTTTCTCACTCTTGGTTCTGACTACACAGATCATTTAAATTGAACCCCAAACCCCAATTACTCCATTAAACACTTAAAACTTGGGCCAAATCACTGAAAAATGGATGCATGACCTCTGCCTCAACACTATGCTTGAAAACTTTAACGGTGGTTCCAATCAATATCATCAGAAAGTCCAAATCTGGACATCTTTGGCAAGACTTGATTATTAGAGGCCAGGAAAAGCAAAATCCAATAAGCAACCCCACGACCTCATTTCGTCGGAGTATGTTACATATCCCATTCCAGCTCCTTAGGTATTTCTTTCTCCTCAGAAAATTGAAGTGTTTAATCAATCTGCTCTTACAATGCCTTAGTTCCATGATGTTTTATCTGTGAAAAAGAAGAAAACAAAGCTGAGAAAGAAACCCTTAACATCTAGGAGACCATGAGTCTAATTGAACTACAAAGAAGTCCACATTCTTTATAACACTTTTTTTTTTTTTTTTTTGGTCTGTGCCAATCTTCCCATATTTTGTGAGTAGGATGCCCGCCACAGCATGGCTTGATGAGCAGTGTGTCAGTCTGTGCCTGGAATCGGAACTGGCTAAATCCCAGGCTGCTGAAGCGTAGCAAACTTAGCCAGTCTACCACCAGGCAGGCTGTTTATTACAACACTTTTTAACAAAAATTTTAACACCAATATTTGTAGACCTCTCAATCTCTAGAAACAAGTTTCAAATGCAATTTACATACAGTTATATCTGACTCCAAAGTAAACACTTTCCATATTTGCTCATTTTAATCTTAATCATTTCTTATCATCAATAATCTGGATAAGCGCCCAGTACACACAGAAGTAATTCATAAGCCCCAAATAGTAAACTAGTGGTACTTAACAAGAAGTGATGAGTCTCCTATGGAAAAAAGTTCCAAATTCTCCACAGACCTTAAAATCCAGTGAATCCGATTTACTGAATTACAGAATCTCATAACTATGAGAGACCTTAGACATTATTTAATCAGCCCACGATGAAATGCTTCAATCCTGCCTTTAACCTCTCTGAGCAAGGCTCCCCCAGCCGCCACGTGAGCACCCAGAATCTATACAAGGGATTAGACGCTCCCAAAAGCACAGATGGAGATGGGCTGTATGGCAAAGTACATATTAAAGGTTAGTGAAGTGTAGTGGGCCTAGGAGGGCGAGAGCAAGAGAAGATTTTAATTAAATTTTGTTCAGAGAAGTAGATTTTGAACTCATGCCACAATAACTGGTTTATCTCTCTTTAAAACAACCTACAAATTCTTTATACTATTTAAGAATGACTTTCAGTTACCAATGTTCATGTGACTATACATAATGCATAAAACATTTCGGATAATTCAATGTGTAGTATAGTATAGCAATAGATCATTTTAGGTACTTGCAGTCGTTCCATATCCATAGAAAAATAAATTCTCAAATTGAAATAAATCCTCAAAAATAGTGGAAAATATGCTATTAAAATTATGATTTTAATAAGAGACTATTTAACACATATTAAAAGAAAACCACTTAGCGGTGCTTCCTGAGCCAAGAAATAATTCAGTCTTCCATAAATATGCTTATACAGATAGGATCCCTCATGTATTTTGAAAATTACACAGAATCACGCAGTTACATTGATCTTAACGTATACCAAACTGCTAATTAAAATAGCTATTATAGAGACTAAAAAGATAAAATATCGTCTTCAGGGACCCTTTTGTTTAAAAGTTCTAGTAGATTTTTTTTCCCACTGATTGGGTCCTGGGTCGTTACTGGATGAGCAATTGTTAGAAAGATTTAAAAGAGGAGAGAGAGAGACAGAAAGAGAGTGTTGCATGCAGTGAGTGCATCTAAAACAAGAGATGTGAGTCCTAGTAAGAGAGGAAGGTGATCACAGGATTAGGAAATACTGAAAGGCCTATTTGTTGGATATGTTCAGAATCTGACATAGGAATCACAGAATAAAAAAACCCAATGCAAATTATAAACAAAAGTAAATTCAACATACAGCCCATTGAAACACATCATAGTGATAATTCAGTAAACACAATGACAAAGAAAAAAATTCTTAAAAGCAATCAGAAAATAAAGGGAGATTACTTTCAAGGGAGCAACGAGTAGAGTCATAGAAGATTTTCCAACATAATTAATGGAGTCCAATAGATAAGACAATTGTATGTTTATAATGAAAGGAAATAACTTCTAACGTAGAATTTGTACTTAGTGTAAATGTCCTTCAAGAACAAAATATATTTTTAGAAAGCCAAAAAATACAGAGATTTTACAATCAGCAAATCTGTACGAAGGGAAATACTAATGAATATTCCTCAAGTGAAGGAATATGATTTCAGATGGAAGCCCAGCGATATAGAAAAGGAAATAACAATGAGAGGCCAAGTATGTGAGGAAATCAAAATGACTGTTGGTTATATACAATAGTAATGGTAATGTCTAGCAGAGTTTAAATAATGTGGGTATAAATTACATGAAAAATTGCATATATTTCAGGAGCTGAATAAATACAGATCCTTTCCTTGTTCAAGAAGAGGGGATAAGTATCACTTAACATGAGAGTTTTGTGAGATTAAGATAGACATCTGAAACTTTAGGTAACCACTAAACAAAATAGTAAATCAGTGTATAGCATTCAAACATAGAGAAAATATAATATTTTAAAAAAGATAGTCAATGAAAAGGATGCAAGTAAAGAGAGAAAGTTAGGACAATAGAAAATATATGGTAAGATGGTAGATTTAAACCCAAATATATCTATGATTAAATTTAGTTAAATCATCTAATGCTCCAATTAAAAATGAAGAGTGTGAGATGTGTTAAAAACACCATGTAAATTAAAAGAGACACAGCCAGCTAAAATACAAGAATAGAGTAAGGCTGAGAGAGGCATGAGGAAAACTTATATACCATACAAATGTGAACCAATATATGTATATATATAAGTTAATAACCAATGATTAATAATTTACATACTATATTAATACAAGACAAAGTCGACCTTCACACAGAAATCATTACAAGAGATAAAGAGAACATTTTATAATATTTAAAATGTTGAGTTCACCAGGAAAATATAAAAAAAATACCAATTCTAAATGAGTATCCCGAAATTTGTAAATCTAAATGGAAGTAGAGTGGCAGGTTTTCATACTCGAGAACAGAAGATTCTGAGTCGTAACTGGATGTCATCCCCACGCTTCTGCAGATACTCTCTTCCTGGCCTTGGCTGATCTCATTTTTTTGTTTGTTTGTTCTTATCTGTGAAATGCCCCTTGTCTCATTAGGATGTCATAATAATGAAATACGACATGTGAAAGCATCTAATACCGCACATGATATAGAATAGAAGTGAACATTTCACAGCATGAAATAGATTTTAAAAACTGAAAACATAAGTCGTGGTTTTGCTGGTTGACACTGGAGAGAGATCAAGAGTGAGACGGCCCGGAGCTGGACTGCTGCCTTGACTTTGCCACTGACTTGCTGGGTTGGAACAAAAAAATACCACCCTGGGACAGCCTAGGTTCCCCATCTTTAAATTGATGCTTAAATATGTGAATCAGTACCTTCTGTCACTGCCTCCTTCATGCTACTTCCAACTGAAAATTCTATAAAGATTAAACGAGGCCATCCTACTGCATAAAGAGACGCTTTGGCTTTATTTCCACCTGTCTTAGGAGAAGTTGTCCTGTTCCCTGCTGCAGCCGATCATTCCCCAGGGGAGGCACTGATGGCTGTACTGTATGAGGCAATCCCACCAAATTGTGGGTGCCTCATGTTGGCCCTTCAAACTCACTGTTTCTTTAGCTGAAATAACTTCCTACTTATGAGCTATTTTATTACCACTAGGATTGACTTTTCTGAGCTGTTTCACTTGACTCTCTACGACAAAGGCAGAAGACAAAACACCTGACAAGACCTCGCTCACTGCAGAATTTTCCCTAGTTTTGGAGGTCTGGATTTCCCCCAATCAATGTCAATTATGTTTGGGTTCTATTTAAGCAGTTTCTTATGCCAATGCTCTTGACAAGATATCTAGAAATTCTTTCAATTTAAGCATAGCTTTGCACATCCAAATCTCAGTGAAGCACACTTCTTTCTCATTTACAGGATTAATATTTCAGACAACTGAAAGAATAGAAAATGGTCAGAATAATTAGAAGATAGAGCTCTCCAACTTCTAATGTTTTGTTTTGTTTGTTTCTTTAAAGTATGTCATCACAGTGCTGCATTACTGAAATAAATTCTAGATAAATTAACATTCTTTGCATGTTGATAAAAAATTCAATTCATGTTAGTATAGTGTGACTATTGCTTCCTTTTAGGAAAATAGTGGACTGGATAAAGATATTCTAGGGAAGAGCCTGGTGGCATAGTGGTTAAATTTGTGCACTCCACTACAGCAGCCTGGAGTTTGCAGGTTCGGGTCCTGGGTGCAGATCTACATACCACTCATCAAGCCACACTGTGGTGGCATCCCATGTATAAAATAGAGGAAACCTGGCACAGATGTTAGCTCGGGGACAGTCTTCCTCAAACAAAAAGGGGAATTTGGCAACAGATGTTAGCTCAGGGCCAATCTTACTCACCAAAAAAAAAAGAAAAAAAGGAAAAAGATATTCTATTCCATAAATTCTAGTCCTTGTACAAAAAGGACATATATACTAGTTTTAATTATTTTTAAATGAAGATTCTGAATAAGCTTTTTAAATGTTAAAAGCAGTAACATAAATCAATTAATGCATCTGTGCGCATGCGATCTTTTGTTGGAATCCTACGTCAAAGTCATTCATAGCTAGAGCAGGCAAAGCTGATTAATTACTGAGTCCAGGAGGCCACAGGGCATTGAGGTGACAGTCAGACCCTGGGATATTTTGGAATAGCTTCAATAATATAATGAATAAAATTTGCATTTTTTTTCTGTAACTTCTTAATAAAATTACAAAGAAATTAGCCTCTAGTATTCTCAAACATATGAGGGCAAACTCAGTTTTAATTAGAAAAGCCAGAAAATACTTTCAAAATCCTTCACAGCCACACTAAAAAATACAGCATTTTCTTCATTCTTTAAAAAATAGCGATCATTCTCAGGGGTAAAAATAATATCCATGTAGTAAACATCTGTATTGGACTTCCCAGAAGGAGGCGTGCTCATCTTTCATTCTTACATTTGCCTCATCTGATTTCATCCTTGACTCCATATTCGCATGGAGTATTAATAAGCATACTATTAAATGATTTGAACATTATAGAACAATTGTACAACTGTTTAAATTATCTAGTCGATTCTGAAGTAGTTAGATATCAAGGATCATGAAAAAATAAGTATGCTTACAGCATACGTGGCACT